AGTGGATTGCCTGAGTCGAGAAGTTCAAGATCAGTCTACCAAAAAAAAAGTTAACTGGGTCCTAGCTAATTTGAAAGGCTGAGGTGGAGGGATTGCCTGAGCCCAGCAAGTCAAGCTGCTGTACCTGTGACTGTGCTACTGCACTCCAGCCTGGGTGACAGAGTGAGACTCTGACTCAAAAAAACAGAACAAAACAAAAATTTATGTGTGTGTACGTATCAGTGAAGTTCATAAAGTACATTAAGTTTAAGTGTGCGGCTCAATGATTTTTTTAGTTTATGTATTCACTACGTATGTATACACAGTACTTACATTCATATGGATAACAGTACTTATGTAGTCAACATGTTTTATTGAGTGCCTGCTACACAGGAGTGTCTATTAGAAAAATGAAGACAGAACACATTTTTCCAATGGCTGTGATAGAGTCAGTATTATGAATTATAGAAATTCCTTGACAGAACTATACCATCAGTCCTGGTATAGGAGAGCGACATGGCTGGGCACGGTGGCTCACACCTGTGATCCCAGCACATTGGGAGGCAGAGGTGAAAGGACTGCCTGAGTCTAAGCGTTCGAGACCAGACTGGGCAACTTGGCAAGACCTTGTCTCTACGATAAAACAAAAAATGAGCCGGGCGTGGTGGCGTGTACCTGTTGTTCCAGATACTTGGAAGGCTGAGGTGGAAGAATCACCCGAGCCCAACAGGTTGAGGCGGCGGTGGCCGTGAGTGTGCCACTGCACTCCAGCCTGGGGGACAGAGTGAGACTTCAACTAAAAAAAAAAAAAAGAAGAAGAAAAAGAAGAGCGACAGTTGTGTGATGGACTCACAGTGGCTGGAATTTTGGAATCCAGGAAGGGAAGAATTGTCTGCTCTGTGTGAATATACTAACTCATGGAACCTTGGGAGACATTGTTGAATCCAGGATATAGAGTCAGGGCAGCCATGCTCCTTGCACAGAGTTGGGCACTGTGAGGGCAAGGAGAGCATCTTTGGAAATTGATCTTGCTGTCTGGCCTGTGACTACTTGTCTCCAGAAGCTGGGTGAAGGGTGATATCTTTGACCACAGCATGAATCAAAGTGAAGTCGACTGCGTGTGTGTGTGTGTGTGTGTGTGTGTGTGTGTGTGTGTGTGAGAGAGAGAGAGAGAGAGAGAGAGAGAGAGAGAGATTGAGAATCTGCCAGGCCTTCTGAGGCACCAGTCTCTTCTCTTCCCGCTTTGTGGTCAGCTTGGCCTTGCCCCCGCCAGACCCCATCCTGCCCCAAATCAGGGAAGTGCCCCTAGCGGGAAATTGAGTGAGTGAGCAGGATGTGACCGTTGATGAGGCAGCTCCCAGATCTGACCTGGTCCCTGAGTCAATGAGTTACTTCGGGCTCTCAAAGGAAGTCCTTCCGCCCATTCACTATAGTGTTGCCACCTCTTCTGTCCTGTCTACTGTCCCTGCCTACCCACGTGTGGGGCTTTGGGGCAGGGAGATGGTCTCCTCCTCCTTTAAGCCACAGCGGCTTCAGTGGCTGAGGAATAAGGACTCTGGGGGGCATCTGGCCTTAGTGTGGAGACAGAGGAAGCTGCTCCTTGGGAATTTGGTGGGAGTTCTGGCCTGGGGTGCCCAGTGATCTTGCTGTGGAACCCCTGAGGCCAGGATAGCGGCAGGGAAGGACGGAGGGGGCTGGGCCTGGCTGGGGAAGGCTGGCCTGGAAGGAGCTGAGCCTTCGGCCCTGGGCCAGGGTGGAAAGTATGCATGTGAGCTCATTTGGAAGGTGGCTTCTGGCCAGTCAGGCCTGCCTCCCTTCCAAGCCCTCACTGCCCATCCCCGTCTCAGGCTGCCTCTGGTCCCCCCAGTTTTCCGAGACTGTCTGAGGCAGAAGGCAGAAACCTCAAGGAATGGGGCTTGATGTGCAGGCTTTATCTCCTAAAGGAGGTGAGCCCAGATTTGGGGGGCTCGGTAGGAAGTGGGTACAGGAGCTGCAGGACAGTGGAGCGGCCTTGGGTGGGGTTTGCTTGTGGCCTTCGGGAACGGGGCACCACCACTGAAGGCCTCTACCTGCGCTGGGCCCTTCTGCACAGCCATTCTCCTACCCCACCCCTCCAGCAGTCCCACCCCAGCAGACAATAGCTGCTGCCATCGTCTCACTGGGTTCCTTTGGCTTCTTTTTTTTTGAGTTGGAGTCTCACTCTGTCGCCCAGATTGGAGTGCAGTGGCCGCTCCCGGCCTCGACCTGCTGGGCTCCGGCGATCCTTCCACCTCAGCCTTCCAAGTAGCTGGAACTACAGGCGCGCACTACCACGCCCGGCTCATTTTTTATTTATTGTAGAGATGAGGTCTCGCCAAGTTGCCCAGGCAGGTCTCGAACCCGCGGGCTCAGGCAATCCACCCACCTCAGCCTCCCAAAGGCGCGGGATTACAGGCTGAGCCACCACCGAGCCCGGCTCCTTTGGCTTCTGAATCTTGCTGCCACCCTCCTTCCCTCAGGGTGCCAGCTCCTGTCCCCAAAAAGGGGGGCGATGGGCTTGCAAAGTGGGTTTCTGAGGAAGAATCCTCCCCTGCACTCCTGCCCCCATAATGATGCTGCTGCCCGGTAAGCAAGCACACATATGCTGACAGGTCCCCGATACACTCGACCATGAGGACACCCAAATACCCGGGGTCCACACTGGAAGAGACACCCAAGGGGCTGCCAGAATCCACCTGAACAGGAAAAAAAAATCATACAGATCTGGGTATGAAATGTAGGCTAACAAGCTGTGACCTTGGGCAAGTCATTGATCTTTCTGGGCCTTGGTTCCCTCATCTGTGTCATTGCGTGTTGTAAGAACCTCAGCACGTGTTAGTTTCCACATTGCTGGAGGGGGAAGAAGGGATACACAGGGGAATGAGAGAACTGGGAAGTCTGTCAGATTGTGGGAGAAGGGGCCCTGGCGGAGAGATGGCAAAGGACCAGCAGAGCAAGCCTGATGGTGTGTGTGGGGGGGCACTCGGCCCAGTCCCCTCTCCTCTGGAGGACCTGGCTCCTCTTAGATCTTCCCTTCCCTTCCCGCTGACCTAGTGCCTGGCTGGCAGCCCTGGGAGGCATGGGCCTAGCTGGTGCCAGGAGCCCGGGAGAAAGGGGAGGTGATGACCAGGGAGTCCACAGCCCCCCTCCAAATGTGTGGGGTGCAGTGATGGGCAGAGTATTGCTCCTCCTCGGCCCTTGTCCCCAGCCCAGCATCTCCTTAGCACCAGCTTTCCTGGGTTCTACCCAAACCTCCGTGCAGATTCCCCTTGGCTCCCTCCTGGCTGCTCCAACTCACATGTGCTGCTTTCGAATAAAGGAACTTGGAACCATAGAAACTGGGTCAGGCCCAACGGACAAATCGGGGTCGGGCCAGTGAAAGCGGAATGTGCAGGTCTCTTGGAAGCCACAGGGTGCTCTGCTCTCCCCTCACCCCGGCCTGACCCGGTGGCTCATTAGGTGGGGCCTTGCAATCACGTAGGCACCTCCCAGGGGCGCTGGGCAGCGTGGCTGGGGTGGGCCGGGCAGGCCCAAGCACGTCAGAGGCACGGGACCCTGCAGCCTCCACCCGGCGATTCTCCCTGCTGGCGAAGCTCATCTTCCATCTCTTCCCCCTTTGTCTCTGGTCCTCCGTTCTCGACTCTCCCCCTTGGCTCCAGAGAGCATCTTGTGATTCCAGAATCAGGGCCAAACAATTTCCTCGTGATGGGGAAACCGCACTCTGGCGCAGGAGCCCTGGGCTCCCCCTCCTCTTCCCTCTGGCAGTCCCCCCTCCCCAGGCTCCTCCACTGGCTCCAGCTGTGTTTTGCAAAACTCCCCCTGGATAACATCTGTAATTGCCTCCAGATGTGGACCACAAAAACACAAAGGGGGCATGAGCTCATCTTTGAGTTCCCCGCCACACGCAAGGCCCTACCACCCCTCGCTGCCCCTGACTTCCCCCTGCCACCTTCTCAGGGTCCCCATCCCCTTGGGGAAGGGCGGTGGGGAGGTGGTGTCCAACTCCACCGAGACACACAGACCCTGCCAAACAGCTGTTGGCAGTGAGGCGCAGGAGGCCAGGCATAGGGTCAGGGTTCCTGGCTGGCAAGAAGGTGGGGTACCCCTTCTGCCAAAGCAATCACACTAACCAGCCCTGAATAGCAGCAGCTGGATAGACGGACTGGCATAGATGGGGCCAGCGCTCTGTGGAGGGGGCCTGGGATGCAGCCAGAGGTGGGCTGGGCCCAGGCAGGAAGGGGGGGTGAGAAAGGGGGGTTGCTCTTCTACAGCTGAGCTGACTCAGCATCGAGTGGATTCGTCCCTCCAGGCTGGTTTCGGAGGAAGGGTGGGTCGACAGCCTGAGAACCCTGACTGGGACAGCAGTTTCTAAGAGGAAACAAAGCCTTGTCAGCCTGTCCTCCCAACCTGACCATCCTGGTTCATCCTGGTTCTCCTGAGCGACAGCCAGTGGTGAGACCTCAGTTTGGCCAGACAAGGCTACTCCTAATAGGCCCCGAGGCAACACCTTTCTCTCTTACCCCCTCATTTCCTGAGGCCTAGAAGAGCCTTCTTAGGTTCAGAGGGCTGGGGATGAGGGACCTGCCACGGGGACTGGTTCATGGGAATCCCCCTGCCTCGGGCAGAACGGCATGAGGAAACTGAGGGTCTGCGGGCAGATCACACGACAGAGTAATGCAATTTTAGGAAGATTTTCCAAGTGGCCTCAGCTTGACCACTTCCTCTTGTCTGTGAGTCTTGGGTCTCAAAGGTAGCCTTTTAAGCCAGGTTGAGGGACAGCAGCTGGGCTCTGTCAGCTGCCTTCTCCCCCCAGCAGGGTCTGTCCTGCTCCCTAGCTCTGCCCCTGAATCCCTTTAGTCCGGTAAGCATAAACATATTCCTTTGTGAAAAATACTAAAACCTCACCTCATGGAAAATGCCGCTCATGGCGCACACTCCCCCCTTTCCCAGCCCCCTCTTCACCACATCCCATTCACCCCTATACAGAACTGTAGCCACACAAAGAATGTGAAACACAGTTTATTCTTTGTGGAAAGGTTGAACAAGGTCAAAGATGTCCTTAGAGGGCACCGACCCAGCCCCGCCCTGCAGGTTCCTGGGGTCAGATGCCTCTGCCCCCCGCCCCCACCCCGCCCTTTGCCCCTTGTTAACACAAAGGAACGATCTGAATGGAATTCATATATAATAATTATAATAAAAATATACATTAAACAAAACAAAAAAAACAAACAAGACAGAAATTTAGCCGAACTGCCAGCACCGTTCACCCCATTTCCCCTACCCCCATATCCCACCCTCCCCCCGACATCCCTCTCCTCTCCTTCCTCCACAGGGTCTCACTCTCCCAAGTCCCCGGTACCATGACCACCACCTTTGGAGGCCTAAGGAGACTTCAAAAGGGTGGGCTGGGCAGGGGAGCGGGAGGGCAAGGCCCCCAGTAAGACAGGCTGAGGGGTGCAGGCACCCTGGAATCCGGGCCCAGCCTAACCAGAGACCTAGCTCCTGTCTCTCGTGAGGTGGTGAGGCAGGCTGAGGCTGGGAGCTGCCAGGCCTCTGAGGGGTCTCTCTCACGAAGGGCCCGAGTCCCCAGTCCCTGTATGTGTGCCCTCTCTGCTCCTTTCTCTGGGCTGCCTACCCTTCCTCTCCATGCTGCCAGGTCAGTGAGGACCAGAACCAAGAGGAGCAAGGGTGCCTTCCTTAGGGCCCTTCCTGAGAGCTCCAAACAACTCGCCCTCTCCTGGACACCACAGCCCACTCTGTGGCAACCCTGCTTGGCTTGGCCTGGCCTGCCCTGCTTGGCCCCCGGCCACCCAATGCTGCTGCTGCATTTCCTCATTTCCCCTTTCGGTCGCATCCTGTCCCCTCTGGCTGCTCTGCCCTCAGGTCCAGCCCCAGCTGCCCGCATCTGAGCAGAGTTCTTTGTGGCCTTCAGGCTCGCCCAGGGCTCAGACCTGGGCCTCTCCCCTGGGTCCCGCCTCACCCTGGTAGCCGCAACTCCTGGTTTCAGCTCTTCCAACCATGAAAGCCCCTGACTGACATTCGAGGGGGCAGGGCTGCAAAGGGTTTCTTCAGCCCCGGTTTAGTCCTTAATGGCTCAGGCTCCTTCCTTGGAGGGTCTTGGGGTAGGTGGGGCAGAAGCAGATCTTTGAGGAACTTGACTGACCAAGCAACGAAGACCCTCTCTGAGTTTTCCTCCCAAGGTCTTAAGGTGGATGGTCATTCCCTACCACGTCATGCTCTGCAGGGTCTCCGCCCTCCAACAAGATTAGATTCCTTTTAGCCAGAAAGAGTCGTGAGAGGCTGCCAATTGGGTCCACCTGGGGCTTTCGGGGCTGGAGTGCCCAGAGCCTCCTGAGGTCAGAGTTCAGAGGTTTAAGGTATGTCAGGGATGGAAAAGGAGCAGATGACCCCATTTGATCTTTACCAGTGAGGTCTGAGGGTCCTGCCTGCAAGCGCAGAGCTCCCAAGACATTCAGATGGGGCTGGACACACACCAGGCTACGGGGTTCTCCGAGGAGCAGAGGCTGGAAGGGTCTACCCTCCTGCTCAGCCCTCGAGGGACTCATCTAGGGAAGACACAATGCCAGGGGTAAGGGTGGGAGAGGCCAGCTGGGGGACAGAGAGAAGAAGGGAGACTGGCGGGAGGGGGCTGGGACGGTGGGAGCAGCCCACCCACCACCGCCTGCTGCCACTGGCCTTCAGAGGCAAAGTTCTCGTGGTAGGAGTGGGCGGGCCGGCGGTGGGGGTCAGACCTTGTCCAGCAGGGAACGCTGGCAGTAAAGCAGTCGCTTGGGCGTCCCGTGGCGCCTGAAGAAGAAGACCGCGAGGCCCACTGCCAGCACCAGGAGCAGCAGCAGCACCGGCAGCACCACGGCGGCCGCGCTCACGGCCCTGCTGCCCTCCTCGTCCACTTCGATGATGATCACCTCTGTCTCCTCCTCAGTCCCCTCATCCGGCCGGCCCCCGGACGGGCAGCCCATCCAGTCCCGCAGGGCTGACTTGGGGTAGCCGGGCTCGACCTTCAGCTTCTGGTTGTTGAATTTCCAGTATTTGTTCCCCTTGTAGAAGTAAGTGAAGACTGCAGGGGGTCACCAAGAAGGTGGTGAAGGAGAGGGACCCAAAGAGGACCCAGAGAGAGGAGGGGAGCAAAGGAAGCTTTGTCAGTGTGAGGGCCAGTTGAGTTCACCTCAGCCTTTCTGAGCATCCGTTTCCTCAGCTTTAAATGGGGGTTTTACCAGGCTGGAAGGGTGGCGGGGATGACACGTGACACACAACACGTGAAAGGCAGGTGGGTACAGACTCCTGCTATTACCATCGCCGTCGTTTTCCACGTGACACTCTCTCAGTTTTTCCTCCTCCTTGTCCTTAACTCCCTATTCCCACCCTCCTCTCACGGATGCCTCCCCGGACCTCTCACCTTCGTCGCTGCCCATGAATGACCCTCTGGGAGAGTCGGGGATTCCTTCCCAGACTTTGATGTTTTTGGGGTACTCGCTGTCCACTATCCTGAGCTCCTCATTGAAACGGTAGTACCTGGGGGGCAGGGGGAAAGGGAAGTGGTTGGCCTCAGAGGGCAGCAGGACCCAGGACGGAATTCTCCAGTGAGTAACGGGTAGCTGTGGACAGGGTGGGAAACAGTTCTGAGTAATGAGGGCCTGCTGCTGAAAGTGGCGGAAGGTGGGGGTGGAAGGGAGGGCCCAGGCTGCGAGGAGCCACCAGCAGCCCTTAATGACAGTTCCTGGCTGCTGGGGCGGAGGCACTGTGCTGGGGGCAGGAGGCGTCAAATGACCAGGTCTGAAACGGCGACCCGGTCACATCCCACTCACACAGGGTCCAAAGGAGGCCGCCTGTTGCTAGGCAGCCACAGAGCCTCAGCCAACTCTTTCTGTAGGGAAACATCTTTGGGGGTAAATCGAGTCTTTCTCCAGAAATGAGGGAATTTGGGGGTGGTAGTGGTGGTTTCTGAGAAAGGAGGACTGGGCTTAAGGGCTTGAGGTCTTACTTATTTCCCCGGAAGAAGTAGGTCTTTCCACTGGGCATCCAGAAGAGAGCGGCATCAATTTTGTCAGTAGGCAGTCCTCGACCCAGCTCCTTAATGTGCTTGGGGTAGCCAGGTTCCAGGGATGCCTCATCAAACACCCAGTGCTTGTCTCCTGGGAAGGAGAGAGAAGAATGGGATCTGGGTTCAGTATGGGTTCTAGGGTCTTTGGAGGAGTCAAACAAAATCAGCTCCTCTAGGGAGACCCTCTCACTCCCAAAGACCGAAGTGGAGTGCCAGTTACCTTTGAAAAAGACAAATTTGCCATCCTTCCTCTCGTAGGCAGTGTTGATGGATGCAGGGAGGCCCCGCCAAAATTGGCCAATGGGCATTGGGTATCCATCCATCACTTGATTATGCCTCACTCGCCAGAACCAGCGCTCCTGGAAGCCAGTCAATGTGGGAAGAGTCCATTTTTATATCTTATAGCTTAGACCTCTGGCTCAGTCCCTGAAGTTCCCCCACTGCCCCTTAGTTAGTTTTTAGTCCTCCTGTTGCCATTTCCACCCAGCCTCCCTGCCAGAGTTATTTTGTCCCCCCAAACAGCCCACTTCTTCCTCTCACCTTGAAGACAAACATCTCCCCTCGAAGTACAGCCACGGTGTCAAAGTTCCCATCACAGATGTTGGGCCCGTAGGTGGGGTTTTTGGGCTTATCAGGGACAGAGGGTCGGGAGGTAGTCCTGGGTTGAGGGGGCATCTTGGTGGGAAGTCCTGACTCACTCCCTGAGGCAGAGAGCATAAGGGACACTTTAGACTTGGGGATAGAGGGGGAGGGAAGGACAGAGAGATGGGCAGACAACACCCATGGAAAGGCGTGGACGGGCCTCTGGTAGAGGCTGAAGCAGTCAGCTGGGAGGCAGCACAAAAGGTGGGTTCAAAATTGGTGGCGGCAGAGTTGGGTGGGGGGGGGTGTGCAGAGACTGCAGGACATGAGGGGACATGCATAGGCCAGGAGGGGAAAGGAGCACAAGAAAAGAGAAAGGAGCAGGTGTGGTCATGGACTACTAGCCATAAAGTTGCTGGATGCCCCGGCGGTCGTCATCAGGCAACACGAAGTTCTCGGTGTCCATCCACTGGTAAAAGGGTGCCATGATGGCCGAGGGATCATTGGAATGCTCGAGGCCCAGGGCATGGCCCAGTTCATGCACAGCCACCAGAAAGATGTCATTCCCTGGAGGGAAGGGGACAGCTATGATGGCAGTCTGGGTCCCTTCCCTCAGGTTCCCTGCTACCCTGCCAGAGGCTGCAGTTTCACATCTAGGCTGCAGGTTTTCCACCCAAAGTGACCCAATTCCTGAGGTCCAGCTTTCTTTCTTTTTTTTGAGTTGGAGTCTCACTCTGTCACCCAGGCTAGAGTGCAGTGGCATGCACATGGCCACAGCCTCGACCTGCTGAACTCAAGCGATCCTTCTGCTTCAGCCTTCCAAGTAGCTGGAACTACAAGCACACACCACCATGCCCGGCTAATTTTTTGATTTACTGGAGAGATGAGGTCTTGCAAAGTTGCCCAGACTGGTCTTGAACCCCTGGACTCAGGCAATCCTCTCGCCTCGGTCGCCCAAAGTGCTTGGATTACAGGCCTGAGCCACCGCACCCGACTGGTCCAGCTTTCTATTTGGCATTTAAGGCATAAAGTCAGTCAGCAACCTCCTCTGGGTGGAGGTGAGAGAATACTCTGGGACAGCGTCCCCACTCCATGAAGACCTGTGTTGAGGGAAGCCAAGACCTCTCTGGGCCTGTTTCTCCAGGAGCTAGAGAGGAGACTAGCCTAGAAAAGTGGGTGATGAGGATGCTTTGAGGTCTCGGATTGGCAAGTCAGTCAGTGGGTGAGAGAAGAGACCAGATATACATAGCTCAAGCTATGTATACACAAGCAGGATTTCTGCTTTAGGCAGAAGTCAGACCAGGAGATCTCTGTGGTCCCTTCTAGCCCTGAGATTTTGAGAGGAAAGAGGAGAACTCCTCCTATCAATGACTATTGACTCTCCCTAGAAAGAGTCGAGATCCAGGACTTACCATTCAGATCCTCATTCCGGACAGTCCAGGGCTCAGCAGAGTCAAAGTGGGTGTCCCCTCCAATGTTGGGGCCCGGGAAGTAGGCGTGGGCCAGGAAGCCACCCTCGCCATCGAAGGGCGTGCTGTCGCCATGGAAGCCCTCGGCAAAGAAGATCATGATGTCGGCCTGCTTCTCATGGCCCTCGCGGATGTAGGCATAGGGTACTTCGCGGAAGCGCAGTGGTGTGGCACTCTCCCACACGCGGAATGCCTTGCGAATGGCCTCGTATGTGGCATACTCGCCCACCTTGGGGGTGTAATTCTGGATGCTGGGTCCAGCCACGTGGGGAGAGGATGGGGGTGTGTTAGGACAACAAGGGGCAGAATTCTCCTTCCCTGCACTCTCCCAGGGTTGACTGAACTGCCCAGCCACCTTTGCCTGACCCAGCTCTTCCTGCCGCCTCGCGCACCATGCCGCTGCCCCAAGAACCAAGGGATTGGGGGGTCCTCAGGCTTTGGCCCTCTGGCACTGGGGTGCATTCCCTGATGGCTGTACCTCTCTCCAGGATTAGAGCCATTTTCCTCCCCACTCCCAGGGATGCTTCCCAGTAATAAAAGGGAGCGGGGCAAGAGAGAGCCAGATGTGAGAAAGATTGCGTGCCTGTTGGACTCACCAGAAAGTGATCTCGTTATGCTGCCATTTGAGGCCCTGGATGGCATAGCGCTTCCTTCGAACATTGGCCTTGATCTCAGCCCCGAACTTGTCTGGAACGCCACATCGGGGGCGTCTCATGGCCCTGGGGTGGGTTGAGGTATGAGGATTCGGGTCAGTGCAGAGTATGAAAGAGAAAGGTCCCCAGTGTCCGTGTTGGGTGAGGCTCACCGTGTGTGTCAGTGTGGAAAAAGGCCAAGGTTATGCGGTCAGGATGAATAGGAGAAGGCCAGGATCAGCATATGGGGAAGAGGCGTGAGGGGGCAGGAGCCAGCATTCAGGCAGCAACATCTCTGGTGCTCGGGAGTCAGTGGGTACTGGGTAGAATTCCTGCCAGGGTCTAGCACTTACTTCATGGTGTCTGCGTCAGCCTTGCCTGTCACTTGCAAACCGTAGAACCTCTGCATGGCAGCGATGGCAGCTGAGAGTGACTGGGGTGAGCGCTGTGTGTGGGTACGGAGGTCCCCGGGAGGCAGGTAGCCATACTGCTGTAGCCAGGCCTGTAGGGAAAGGAGTGTGGCTTAGAGCATCCCCCACCTGGTTCACGGGGTTCCTCTACCTCCCCCACAGCACCTGGCACACAGCCTTGGTTTGGTGAGGGAAGGGCAGTGGGCTCCCAGCCTGGCTCTGGTAGCAGGTCCAGAGGAGCTTCCGAGCTAGACCTAAACTCTGGCCCTGGCCCAGTATGACTTGTTCCCTTAGGTCTGTGAGCTCAAACAGGGGTGAGGAGCCACAGCTCCGGACTTTGACGTAGCTGTCTTGAGGCTGAGAGCCCTGGTGGTCTAACACAGAGTTCTGGGATGTCTTCTCAGAGTTGTGATTGCTTCCAGCATGTTTCTCCTCTGTCAGTGTTCTTGCAAATACGGCATGCCTCACCAGGAATGGATTGTGCCCATGATGGGTGAGGTGGTGACAGGCTGAGGGGGCTCTATGTTTGAGCCTGTCATGAGGCTCTCCTGTGATGCGGTGCCCCTCCTCCAAGGGGTCTTTTTAGAAAGGAGGGTAGAAAAAGAGCGAGAGCTGAGGCTGGCTGCTGACAAGGGGACACTGGGGCCTCTGGATATGAGCAGTGTGATCCAGCAAAGCCAGGATGCTGCCACTGTCCCCATCCAAGCACCCAAGGTCCCTGTGCTTGAGACCTAAAAACCCATTTAAGATTCTCAACAGAGGGAGTGGGAGATTGGGGGTGGGGGTGGTGGAGACTTGGTGACTGTATTTTCAGGTATATTGTGAATTGTTCATAATACAAAGACTGGCGTATTGCCTTAAAGTTAGGGTTTTGGTGTTTGGTTAGAAGGCACACACACTGTGAAGCCCCACTGACAGAGTCAGCCTTTACTGTAAGAACAATGGGGCATTTCCCTAAAACCTGAAAAGTAAAACAAGCCAAGTTACATATGGAATATGAAGATTCCTGGATTCTTTTATGGGAAGATACTATGCAGACAGCTCTGGCCCCTGCTCCAGCTTTGCTTTCAAAGGGAATTCAGATGGCGCTGCAGGTGGGCCAAGATGGGGACCTGGAGGGGAGAGGTGTGGAGACTGCTGCTGGGGGCTGCAACCCCTATCCAAGGTCATTAGAATGGATCTCCATGTGGCTCTTCATGTTTGGGCCCAGGCCCTAGGCTATGGAGCAGAGCTTTTGCATGGAGGGTGGGGTGACTCAGGAGCAGCTGACTGGGGACCTGAGCCCACAGGGGCAAGAATTGCAACATGGTTCTGGGAAGTGATCCCCCAAGGCTAGGGCCTGAGGTGTAAACAACCCAGCCTTCTCTCAGCCTTGGCCAGAACAACCCTAGCACCACCCGGCTCTGAGGCTCTGACAGCCGCTCCTCAGGCTGGAGGCAGGAGCTAAGTTTAACCTCTGGTATACCAAAGGGGAGCCCAGCAGGGTGCTCCAGTCGCGGACTGTTCTTTGGGAGCAACTGCAGGCTTGCTCTGACCTGCGCTGGTTGATGCCATAGCCAGTGCCTGGGAGAGGCCTGCTGTGGCCTGTGCCCAAGTATGCAGGAAACTCCCTTTGCCCCTATCCTCACCTGTAGGATAAACACACTCCAGGCTTATGACCCCTGGTTGGGGAATAGCTGCTTCAGGACTTGGGGAAGGATGGAGTAGCTTACTCCTGGAGCTGGAAAGCAGGAAGACTGAGGCGAGGTCCCCCCCAACTCTCAGGGAGCAAAGCTGAGGGGAATTCTCCTAGAGCAGGATGATAGAAGGGAGGGTGGCAGAGGGGTGGGGAGAATCCACATCTAGCTCTAGGATAAATTCCTCTCCTGTCTTCCAAGAATGTAGGCAATACTAAATATTCACACCCACACCCTATACCCTCTAGAGAAAAAAGAAGGCTTAGTCAAGTAAGGGACTTCCCTAGAGTCAAGAGAACCACAGGGCCTGGAAAGGAAGTGCCCCCTGTCTCTTTCCTCCTCCTAGGCCCAGGCAAATTTCTTCCTTCACAGAGACTATGAGGTCAAAACCACAGAAGAGAGGACTCTTGTGTCTGCGGCTGGGTGGGAGGAAGGGCCCAGCGCCAGACAGGCCAAGGGGAGGAGAGGGCTGTCCTGGAGCTGGTGCAGGACTCTGGAGGCCTAGTGGGAGGGATCCAGCTGCATGAGGTCTGCACCACCCCAGCTTTGCCTCCAGATTGGCCTGGAGTACAAGCAACTGTGTTGGGTCAAAGAACTCAGTTGGCTGGCTTTGACTTGATGCCTGAGAGATGCAAGGTATTCCCCCAGGGGAAAGTCAAGGGACCACTTCTCACCTCAGCTTAGGATTTCTGAAGAGGGTAGGGGGATCTCCAGCTCCACAGCAAGCCCTGGATCCCAGCCTCCTCCGGGCCTGCCTCTCCCTCCCTCTGCCTCCCACCCTTCCATGGCCCAGAAGCAAATGGTGGTTCTGGCACTGGGACCGCCCATGACCCACTTAAAACTGTGCCAGGGCTGCCGCCCCTCCCCTAGGGAGCCTGCAGGGCAGGGGAGGAAAAAAGGCAGGGCGGTAAAGTTGGCAATGGGCAGCCCCCCAGATGCCCAGGCTCCTTTTGTTAGAAGCACTCCCTTTCAGGCCTCAGACAGGACTCCAGGCCTGGGAAGAGGATGACTCCTTCTCCAGGAGAGTCAGGCTGAGCTTACAGCCTCAGGGTAGATTTTTACTCTTCCTGGTCTCTGAGCACTCCACGATGGGTCTTCCACCCCACTTCCTAGGGCCATACTTTTCTGTTCAGCCCCAGATCCAAATCCAGATCCCATCCCCCCTCTTGGGCCCTTCCTGGCCCCTCCCGACCGCACCCAGGCCCCTGCCGGGCTGAGTGGGTTGGGACGGGCCAAAATAAGAAGCTCATTAAATCCGTCTCCCACCTTCACCCCAAAATAAAAGAGAGAGAGAGGAAAAACCTCCTCAGACAACTCCCACGCGGCTTCCTCTGGGGCCCGGTGGGCAACCATCAAGGGAAGGGGTGGGGGTGGGGGGCGCCCAGGTCAACCGAGACGTGCGAGGGCGCCCTGGGCCAGGCCCGCTCCCCACCCCCCGGGCGACACCCCCAGTCTCCCGGCAATTAACACAGAAACACAATTGACACAAAAAAGGGCCCGAAGGCGCCGCCGAGGGTGGAGGGAGGCGGCGACCCAGCCGAGCCCCGGCTCACAAGGAA